TGTTTGTGCCCAGGTGTTTTCTTGGCTTGTGGTGTGGAGATTTTTTTTGTTTGTGAATGCAGGCTCCCAGATAATTGACAGTCTGATGGAGTCATCTCTTCTCTTCATGCTTTCAGGTCTTTTTTCAACCTCTATGGCTTCTCTGATAATTCTGTAGCTGGGGTTTTCTATAGTGACTAGGGTTTTGGTGCCATTGAGGTTGATGCTATGACCTGTTGCTTTCATGTGTTGGACTAGTGAGGAAGTATGTTCCAGCTTTTTTATTGCATTTTTGTGTTCATCCAGGCGGGTACTTATTCTTCTATTGGTCTGTCCAATGTATGTGGCACAGCATGATGCGCAGGGGACTTCATATATACCACCCCTGTGTGTGTGTGTGTGTGTGTGTGTGTGTGTGGCATTCAGCTTTGTTTGGGTATTTTCCCACGTCATTGTGGTTGTGCTTTTAAAGTTGTAGCAATGTTTCGGCAGAATCTCATCTGCCATCATCAGGCTTCTTTACAGTGTTCATCTGTGAGTCAGACTTTTACAGTGGTTTCAGATTTAAATTTGGGGCAGCCTATTGCTGTGCCAGAATGGTTTTTTCTTCACCCTGATTGGTTGGGAGTCTTGGTCTGTGTTTATTGGTCTTGGAGCAGAACACAGCAAACCCCAAGACCAATAAACACAGACCAAGACTCCCAACCAATCAGGGTGAAGAAAAAACCATTCTGGCACAGCAATAGGATGCCCCAAATTTAAATCTGAAACCACTGTAAAAGTCTGACTCACAGATGAACACTATACAGAAGCCTGATGATGGCAGATGAGATTCTGCCGTTGCTACAACTTTAAAAGCACAACCACAATGACTTGGGAAAATACCCGAACAAAGCTGAATGCCATACATGTAAGTACCCGCGAAAACTTAAGAAAACAAATATATATATATATTTTCATGAAAGCATGAGTAGAAGAAATGATTCCGCCAGACTGTCAATTATTTGGAAGCCTGCACTCACAAACAAAAAAATCTCCACACAACAAGCCAGGCAAACACCTGGGCACAAACAGATCCCCACTGATACCTCCAGCTCAAACACACCCCAACCAGGCACCCAGATGAAACCTAGCTTCCTAATAAATGATAGCCATCCGTTTACTCAGAGCCAAGCCACAATAAAAGCTTCCAATACAGGAACACAATGTTGCCAGCCAATCGAGACAAAAAAAAAAAACCCCACAAAACAGACAGAAGATATTAGAAACACCAATCAAGCGGAACACAGCAAACTCCAAGACCAATAAACACAGACCAAGACTCCCAACCAATCAGGATGAAGAAAAAACCATTCTGGCACAGCAGTAGGCTAGCCCCAAATTTAAAACTGAAACAACTGTAAAAGTCTGACTCACAGACGAACACAATACAGAAGCCTGATGATGGCAGATGAGATTCTGCCGAAACGTTGCTACAACTTTAAAAGCACAACTATAATGACATGA